CCCGATGGCTATGTCTACACTCACACCAAGGATCGCCTATGGCGTAAGACCCGTAAGCCTTATGGTCGTTGCTTCGGCGCCGATCCCAACCGCAACTGGGACTTTCACTGGAATGAGGTGGGCGCCAGCAGTAGCGCCTGTTCTGATGCGTACGCTGGACCCAAAGCGTTCTCTGAGATTGAGACTTTATCCCTGGCGAACTACATTTCCTCGATAAAGGAAAAGATTCAGCTCTATGTTTCGTTTCATGCCTTCTCGCAGTATCTGCTCTATCCTTATGGTCACACCAAGTCGTTGCCCGATAACGCGAAGGACTACCACCAGGTATTCAACGCAGCCGTCTCTGCCATTTCCAAGCGTTATAATACGAAATACACTGGTGGCAACATTTATGATGCCATCTACCCTGCAGCTGGATCGAGTGTGGATTGGGTCTATGCCACCCAGCATGTGCGCATGGCTTTCTGCTATGAGCTGCGTCCTGCCTCCAATTTATATTTTATCAACTTTAAGTTGCCTGCCTATCAGATCATTCCTGCCAGCGAGGAGCTCTTGGACTCCCTGACGGCCATGATTGGTGAGGTGCAGAAGTTGGGCTATTTCAATTAAAGACTTGCACAATAAACGACTTACATTTTAGTGGCATAGTTATACATTAGACTCTTGCTAATCATGCTCGACCTGCAAACACCCACAGCGGGAAAGGGACTGTTGGAGACATGCACCAGATTTGGTGCCATGTGAATCTCAGTGGGCTGATCGATGTACTCGAGTGTCAGATTGGCGATAACGATGTGCGTCCAGACAACAATCACAGCCAGAAATGCCAACCAAAGTGCTCTGTCAATATTATTAAAACATAGTAAATAGTGTTAATTGGAATCTGTTAAATTGCTGAAAGTTAAATATCTTCACTTGGCGTAGTGCACAGGGCTATGTAGAAGCAGAAGCTTTAATCCATTTATATAACTATTGCGTAGAAAGTCTTTAAACAGTCTGCGATAGTTGGACTCCGCTTCAGACAATTGGTACATGATTGAAGTTTATTACTAAGTGAAAACAACTATCGAATCAATTTATAAAGCTGTCCCTAGTGCGTATAGCTCATCAATCATCAAACAATTGGAATGTGACAGGGCCTAGACAGCTGCTGTCAAAAGTGACTCAGTGATTGATGTCTTAAATGGATGAGTCAAAGAGGGCGAAAAAGAACGGCCAAGGGCATTAATAGTTAAGGGAGTATAGCTATACAACGACTGTATTACGCTCGTTTGCGGACTAATAGCTGCATTGTGTAAAGAAATGACACGGTACATTTTTAATATAGTATTGAATATACGTTAGTTAGAAAATAATTTTTTTAACAAATTTGGATCCTCTTCAAAAATAATCGTATTGAATCGAGTCAAAGAAAGATATGCTTAGATATGTTCAGCCATCAATTCACCCCGTATATCGTACACCAAGGGCATATAGTCATTTTAATAGATAATAAGCAGCTAGCGTAGTTAACCCAGTTCATCGATAGCGATTCCGCAATTGAATAGAACTTGCTTAGCAGCAGCAGGTGGTCCGCAAAGTTCTCCAAAGTAGCGATCGACATTGCGAACTATTGCTTCGTATCTTCTAGTGGGATATCAAAATGCGTTGTAAGTGCGAATGTCAAGTGAATTCCTAGTTAAAAAGAAAACAAAAAACGATTATAAAAATGTCTAAAGATATGACGGAGCTCTAATACTCTTTCATTTGTGTATTCGGTATAAAATATGTAATTCAATATATATTTTTTTCAATTCAATATATAAATATATGCTGTTTTGCTTTTTTTTGTTGCTTAAAGCAACAGATACATTAACATTTACATTTATAGATTAAGATACAGATACAGATACAGATACAGATACAGATACAGATACAGATACAGATAC